ACTGACTCTTAACTTTTATAAAGAATATCTCTTTGGATTTGAGACTTTAGTCTTTGCAACTTTACAGATCTTCTTTATGTACCAAGAGTTTGTTACACTCCAAAGGAAGGAAAAATTGAAATCGCATCATATGACCCTTTTAAAAGTGGATTTTAAGTACACATAATATCTAAATCATGGTTTACCAAAAACACGCTTAAATGGATAGTTCACCCATAAATTAAATCATTTGCTCACCCTCATGTCTTTCCACAAGACCTTTGTTCATCCTAACACAAATAATATTTTTAATGGAATCTGAGAGATTTATGTCCCTCAGAAAGTCCACACAACCGATACTTTGACATAAAGTTTATAAAGACAATGTAAAGTAATTCGTGCACATACTAGAGCTCGTCAAATATGATAAACGGAAGCTCAAATGTTCTTGCTTGATGGTTTGTTCTCATGTCACGCAGGCATATTTGAGCTTCTGTTTATCATATTTGATGTCCTCTATGTGTATGCATGTTGATCTGTATTCATATGTAAATAAAAGACAAAATTTAATCTGACATATAAAGCGATTGTGTCTCTTCAGAAGACTTGGTTCAAATCACTCTATCCATATGCAGGGGCACCGCTAGCAATTTTGGGCCCTATGAAATAATATGAGGTTGGGGCTCACCCTCATGTCTTTCCACAAGACCTTTGTTCATCCTAACACAAATAATATTTTTAATGGAATCTGAGAGATTTATGTCCCTCAGAAAGTCCACACAACCGATACTTTGACATAAAGTTTATAAAGACAATGTAAAGTAATTCGTGCACATACTAGAGCTCGTCAAATATGATAAACGGAAGCTCAAATGTTCTTGCTTGATGGTTTGTTCTCATGTCACGCAGGCATATTTGAGCTTCTGTTTATCATATTTGATGTCCTCTATGTGTATGCATGTTGATCTGTATTCATATGTAAATAAAAGACAAAATTTAATCTGACATATAAAGCGATTGTGTCTCTTCAGAAGACTTAGTTCAAATCACTCTATCCATATGCAGGGGCACCGCTAGCAATTTTGGGCCCTGAGTTCTTCCACACTGACTGAATCAATCTTTTTTTCTTTTTTTTTTACCTTTCCTTATACACAGAGGCATTGTTGTGTTAGAATAGAAAATGGTCATGTTCAAACTATTGGTATAAAATTAGAAGCACACAATTCCCTAGAATAGCATTATATGCTTCTTTTTTTTAAATTCTGCTGATATGGAATGAGTTTGACTACTTAATCAGTTATATTAATAGAAATGCTTCACTGGGGCAAACAAAAAAATCCTAAAATAATAAATAGGATACCCCATAGCAGCATTTCCAGCAGTATCCAACATTTCTCAATTATGATCTTACTCGGCTAAATGTGACTATTAGCTTAACAGCTGTATTCCTTGTTTGCTAGCTACCTATGCACATACAGCATACAATGTTAAAAATGTTCTACATTATGAACCTTAACCCAAAAACCTTTAGGTTCATACATGTAGATAAATGTGACCCTGCCTGTTTTTAAAACAGTGGATGAGTAATTCTCTCCTTGATTTGCTTAATAAAGTTTAGTGTGGCAAACGGTGGCAAAATAATTGAATAATAATTCGCGTGCAGTGTATCTGGTTGCCATGTCAACTTCATGCGCTTCCTGCTGCTGCTCTATGTAATCAGAGTATGAATTTGTAGATTTTCTATAGCAAAACTAAAATGTGTTTAAAAGTGCGACAGACCAAATCGTCCGGCTCGGTTTAGTTCGATTTAGTTTTACACAGCCATTTTTGTCTCTGAGCATCAGAATTACAAAAGCTGTTTTTGATACTGTAACTTTAAAGGGATATTTCCTTCGAAAAAAAAGTCGAGCCTGGAAGAAGAAACCTTAAAACACCTGCTAGCAGTGGAAAAAGGGGTGTGGAGAACATGATTACTTCTAAAAGAAATCTAAAAATACAGATGTCCGGCCATCCAGGGGTCATTGCTCTCCCAGTGGAGAAAAAACAAAGGCTGAATGGAACAGTGTGGCCCGTGACCATAACGGCCCGTCTCAGCCAAACCCGCCATCTGTCCAGAAGTGATGCAAGGCTTCTATTAATAACACAGACAGTATGCGGTATGTGAAAGCCAGGGCGTAAGGAAGCCATTATCCTGAAGATTTAATGGTGAGGGGGAATTTAAGACCTGCACCTCTTCACCAACCTTTCCTGTGAAAGGTAACGGGAGGATGGCATAATACTTGCATAAAATATTCATATCATATGTAAAAAGGACATCTAGATATCTTAAAGGCACAGCTGTAAAAAAGGCCAGGGTCAGATAATGGGAAATGAATGAATTAATGAATGAATGATGTATTTATATAGCGCTTTATTGTGTATTGCTGTACACCCAAAGCGCTTTACAATCATGTGTGGGGGTCTCTCCTCAACCACCACCAGTATGTGACCAGGCTCAACCCTGCTTAGCTTCAGTGGGCAACCAGTCTTGGTCTGCAGGGTGATATGGCTGTAAAATGGTTGTGTAAAACTAAATTATGACTGTTCTTGGCACATAAAACCTAGACATTAACCTAACATCATACGTGTACCTCAGGGAATTGAATGAAATGATATTACCTATTTTTCAGAACTGAACACATTCCTGTCTCGTTTTTGTAGGGAAATACAGTGCTGCATCTGGACCTGGTGACCGGTGCTGTGAGGAGACTGGTCCTGTCTCAGGACAAACAGGAGGAACCACCACACAAGACCTCAAACTGGTGGAGCAACAAAGAGAGTCAGGTGGAAATCTACATTTAGATCCGTCGTTCTTAACCAGGGGGCCGCAGCAAACTAATATAATATTATTTGAATTCACACCCTTATCAACTGTGTTGTGCCTTCAAATATTATTGTGGACAGATAAAAAGTTTGAGAACCACTGCTTTAGAAAAACACATATTAAAAGTATCATTTCTGCAGTGTTCCCAACCATCTCCCTATAATCAGGCGTGATGCAATTTAGTTTAAAGATCTGAGAATAATTATCAATTGTCTCTTTCAATATGGCAGTTTGTTTTTTTTTAAAGATAATGCTTAAATAATTTAACAACACATTCACGGTTCTCTGATGTTGGTTAATGATCACATGATAGTAAACAAAACAATTAATCTTTTTGAGTAAGGATTTATTTTCAAGTTGTAGTTATTTTACATTTAGTTTGCATTATTATAATTTAATTTAATAATATAATTTAAAATGATTAGATTTTCATCAACTCACACATGAAACCTGAGGTTTTCACAACCCTAGTTTGGGAAACCCTGCATTATGGGTTACAATTAAAATCGCACAGAATGATATTCAAACTCAAATTAAACACTTTTAAGATTATACAAAGCATATAATCAGTTCTTAGATTATTAGTGTCACTGGACGCACAGTTTTTGTTCCCAGCTGCAATGTTGCAGAAATAGAAACCATTCCAAAACTAGAATGTAGCCCTGTAGCTTGTCGTGTATCACTATTGTGGCTGGTTAGGACAAAAACTCTGACTAACATGGAAATTATACCATTTATTGTGTCTTTGTATCTGGTTAGGACGCCGTGTAAAATTGTACAATCACACCTAATCATCTTCAGCTTAATATTTTTGTTGTCATTAGCCAGCATACAAAATGTGCAAGGAGTTTGCCCACAAGAACTGGCTTCTCTTCTACAAAGAAAACGGGTAGGTTACTCTCCCTCAGTTTTATGCGTGATATGCCACTCTTACACACTGTTCTGAAACCTAGTGAGCTGCCTATATTGGTAGCGTTTTTAATTTTCAAAGCAAAGCATCTCTTGTCCAAATTGTAAGACAACATGCATGTTTCTTATCAATTTCAGAATGCACTTCAACAAAAAAACCTGCATAAGATGTCTGACGAAGTGTAAAAATAAAAAGCACTGAGAAAAATTCAAGATAATTGTTTAGTCTAATTAATACACAATTTTGCCCAATATTTGTATGCTATGAATGTTGAGGCCTTAGAAACATGCTACCATATGCTCCATCCTTGTGATAAGTGTCAATTGCATGAGTTGGATCTTATGTTTCACAGACATACTTTGCAATTTTAATAAAATCACTGTAAAAAAAAATTCCAGAGCAAACTGCCTTCTAGAAATCTCATGATGTCCGAACGCGAAAGTCTGTGATTTCACTATTCCCAAAATCGAACGATGATTAAAACTTTTTAAGTTATTGTTACAGTTATTATCCTTGGTGTGAACAGGTCTTCAGTCCCATCTGATTTGTTACATAAAATCACAAACATTTCAAGCATAGCGCTGTAGCTCAAACATCCTTTAGAAAACTAGTCTCATCCCAATAGATCTCATGTAGTGCTCTCCAAATCGTTCAGTTATGAGGGTTAGTCACAAAAATGAAAATTCTGTCATTATTACCAGTGTGAATTAGGCTACTTTTACAATGTCTTTATGTACTTTTTGAAGCTTGAAAATTTTGATTGTGTGGACAATCAATCAATGGATGGACAAAGTGATAAAAGAATATTAAATATACATTCATTTGCATTCAAAAATGAAAGTCTTATGATTTCAGAACAACATGAAGGTAAGTAAATGATGCCAGAATTTTCATTTTTGGATAAACTATTCCTTTAAGTTAGGATGTTGTCTTAGAAAGGAGATGTAGTCTATGTAGGCTGTAGACTGCCAACAGCTCATTAGGTTTCGGATCAGAGCTCTGGTGTCCTGTTCAGGCATGGCCTACTGATTTGTACTCCGCTCTACTTGGACAGGAGTCAGCTGGATGTTGTTGATGTGCTAGAAGGTCAGGTTCACACCATCTCCCTCCCCATCAATCTCAAAGCTGTGTTCCTGGTGGCTGAAGACCGCTGGCTTCTTGTTGAGAGCAAGACTGACAGGTGCCAATGAAATCAAAAGAATTCCTTCATGTTTTAGTTGATTGCACACATTGCTCAGACTTGGAAAATGGTGTTTTCCTTTTTAGAGGTTATATAAGCGTATTTGCTTCAGCCGATGGTACGTCTTTAACAAAATGTGCTACCTTCATGTGCAGGAAGTTCCTGTTGACAAAGCCCATGCACATGGGCGCAGAGGACACGGGAGTGTGCCAGCTGCACGCCATCAGTGAAGACGCTGTTAACACTGGCTTTGGCACCAGCTCAGGTGAGCAACTCTTATCACTTATTGGCCAGAACAACCAATCAGAAGTGACTCTGCAATGTTGCCGTCCAATCAGGGCCACTGAGAGCCCTTCACACTTGTCAGTCACCATCTGTCTTACTTTGGCAAATGTGTCTGTTTCACATCTGCTTTGACTGACATGAAGCCTGGGGGATTTTTAAATCTGATTCAGGACTTTTGCACGTGAATAAACTTGGTGTCATCTTTGATGGCATTCATAGTAAATATGGTCTCAGATGCTGCCTGGTGTTCAAAAATGTCTTGTGCTTGCTAAATTCGCTCATTGCATTCTGCATTCTCACTCCTAGTGGGTATGTATGTTTTCACTTATAATTTAGTCAAATCAAGTCATATTTATTTATATATCGCTTCATACTATAGAGATTGTTTCAAAGTGGCTTCACAGTAATAAGCAGGAAAATAACTTCTTCAAATATGAGACAAATTCAAATTCTGCTGCATAGCAGGCTCTAGAAGACAATAGTGTCTTTATTCCCAGTCAGTTTAATGTTGATTCAGTTTACTTCAATCCATTATGAAACCATTCACAGAATGCATTTTTGCTTTGCATTGGAACGTAAGCAGTGGAATGGGGGAAAAAAACGCAAGGCCTCGATACGCTTTTTTTTAAAAGTTGAACTTATTTTAACTTGAACACCTCGTGTTTAGAACGCAATGGGCAAACATGTCCGTGTAGTGTGAAAAGTAGTGGTATGGAAAAACGCATTCCTTGTGAATGGCCCTTGGATTCAGCTATAAAATTCAGTTTAGTTTACATATTTTTTGTTCTTATCCGATACTGTCAGTGCATTCAAATCAACAATACGGAATATTAAGTGTCTTTTAAACCCCCGTCCCTAACTAAGCAAGCCAGTGGTGACACAAGCCAATATCAGTCAGAAATGGAGAAAAAATCTTTGAAATAATCAGTCAAGATGCCAGTTCTCCTCAGGGCTAAATAAACAAATGCTGTTTGTTATTGCTCATAGTTAGGCTGAGGGTTTTCTCCAAACTTTATTTAGGATACGTCAGAGTGAAGTACCTCTGCCTCAGAGCGTGACTGTCCACGGAAGTAGCAATTACACACTACGCCTGTCGGCTGACAGACAGGTCACGGTTATAAGCCGCTGCCACCTGTCGTCGTGTCATTCTCAGCATGTCTCTTCTCCCTGCTGCTGCCAGGAGGAAAGTGTGGTGAGATTCCTCACTCTGGTGCTATCACAGAACCAGGGTTACATAACCATAGCTTCCTCTCTCTTACTACTACACCGAAGCATCGACCGCAGGCCTCTGGAGGTGTGCAGATTGACAGTCCTTAACAAAGACAGGGACCGCTGGGATGAAAGGAAGATGCGTTGACAGACTCCATTATGGCAGCCCAACAATGGGACTCCTGGGCTTCTCTTCAGGCTGTGAGGAAAAGCCAAAGATGATTCATTACATTACCGTTCAAATAGTTGGGGTCAATATGTTTTTTCAAGTATACATTTGATTAAATTAAACAAAACTGACAGTAAAGACATTTATAATACTAAAGATTATTTTTACTTTCTATTTATCAAAAAGTCCTGAAAGAACTATGTAACGGTTTCCACAAAAATTCCACTGAAACAGAAGTGAAACAAGTAGTAGGAAAGAGGAGAAATAAAAAGCGATATATATATATCTCAAAGCTGATACATGACATACTTAAACATGAATATGTTCTTATTTATTTTGTTTTGTTTTTCGTATGATGTGAGCTAGAGCACAATTTTTGATCTAAAAAGATTAAAAATCTAGTCACTCATTATTAATGTTTCTTAGTTAATATGAAAACGGAGTTAATACCTCATTTAGAGGAGAATCTGAAGCTCTCAGGGCCTGATGGATGATGCCAGTGAGTCCTGCACGCCTCATTTGATAGAAAGTAATGCCAGTTTGTTTTAATTTTTGATCTAAAAAGATTAAAAATCTAGTCACTCATTATTAATGTTTCTTAGTTAATATGAAAACGGAGTTAATACCTCATTTAGAGGAGAATCTGAAGCTCTCAGGGCCTGATGGATGATGCCAGTGAGTCCTGCACGCCTCATTTGATAGAAAGTAATGCCAGTTTGTTTTTGAAGGCCTAAAATAGCAGGTAAAATTAATTGCTGCCTCTTTGTTTATAAATCCCATGAAATGCTGTTTATGGAAGATAAACATCTTCACAGCTCTATCTTCTTATGAAGTGCCCCTTGTCATTTCTCCTTCAGCACTTGTTCCTGGAGCATGAAGAGCAGAAAGACGCCTAATAACTCATAGTATCAGTTATTGAGATGAATGTCGCTGTCATAAAGATAGACTAATGCCTGTACTTAGTGGGCATCGTACATCTAAAGTGTCAGACACGTTTCAGCGTTTGCTCTGAAAAATTTGCATGTTTTTGATGACATCAAAAGTTCCCATCAGCAGGATTGGGGTCTTTATCAAATCGAGTGTGACAGAATGTCACCAGAAGGTCTGAATAATGACCAATTAAACTGGGGTATAAAGATGTCACACTGAGTCATGGCAGAAATGTTCTGAAAACCTTTTATGGCTTTAGTCGTGAGGGACACATTATGATCGCTACAGGGGGTCATTTTAAAGTGAAATGATGGTCTGACTGTCTTTGTTCTTCAGGGATGGAAGCCACAGCTCCTCAGGAGGTATCGAATGAGCAGCTGCCCAATGAGAACCTCAGCACTGCCCTGGGCCAGAAGATCGCCTCTCCCAACCGCATCCTCTGTGACACTAACACCTATGCTAATGTTATCGTGGGCTTCCCAGACCTCATGGTGGGTATGGCATACGCCGTGGTAAAATACAGTTTAATTCTATAGATCAATGATATGATGCTCTTTTTTTTGTCCAAATCTATTTATTTTTGAAGTGCGTATCCACTTTGAATTTTGAATTTCTAACTTTGAATTTTTGAAGTGCATATTCATTTTGAAATATTAATTTAGATTTTAAATCAAGGCCTTAAAATGTCTTAAGGTCTTAAATGTTTTATATGATAATTTAAATGATGTAATGGCATTAACAATTTGCGTTACTAGTTGTAAGTAGCCTAATGTGATGAGTATTTTTGCATAAATTATTTCATAGAATATTAATAAGTCTCTTATAATAATTTAAAAGGAAACCTTGCTAAGTTGTAAAATAATACACACACACACACACACACACACATGTATTCAAGGTGTAAGGGAAATATTTTAATATTTTTTATTGGTGGTAACACCAAATGACATGTGACACCAAAATGTTAAAATTATTATTTGAAATCATTTTAAAACTGTAAGAATCCAACACAAAGAGTACATTTTCTCAAAAAAATATGGCACGTGTTTTAAACTGTGGATTTTTTTAAATTATCATGGATACTCTTGACTCCTATAACATGTTTTGTATTGTATTTCCACAGTCCCCTAACGAAGTGTACAGCTTTACGAGATCTTCGCCCATAACAGAGGGTCGGGGACCTGATATGTTTTTTGGGTCAAGTAAGCGAACCGGGCCAGCAAAGAGGGTCAACTGTGTCTGTCTGTTAAGTGCTAATCAAGTGGTCCGAGCTCTGCCCCCTTCACAAATCCCACTGACTGAGATCTACCCCAAAGGTAAAGCACTGACACATTCATATGTACACATCATATACAAATGTATTAGCAAATACTGTATAATGGTGCTTTACTTATGATGATGGTATTGATTTACCAACAGATGTCACACCACCCATGACTGTTGCTTACCTGGAAGTGACAGACCTTAACTCTAAAAAGCTCAAATACATTCCAGTGCCGAGGTATAGAGTCAGACTCTTTCATTAAACTATAGCTCCCTCTTCTGTTCAGCTCAATGTCAGTCAAAGCGTTTAGCTAGATATCTTAAATGTAAAATGATGTAATGATATTAATATGATTTGCATTATTATATTATGTTGTAATTGTGATTAATATTTTTGCATAAATTATATTGTGACAGTGATGTTTATAGAATATTCAGGAATATTCTTTTCATACAATAGGTGTTCTTTTACCAGTAAATAAACAAAAATGAGCCAGAACTAGTAAGATGGGGAATTTTGTAATGCACAGTGCATTCTGTTTAAAGCAATAGTTCACCCAAAAATGAAAATCTGCTGAAATGTATTCACCATCAGGCCATCCAAGATATAGATGAGTTTGTTTCTTCATCAGAACAGATTTGGAAAAATTTACACACTTCCTCTGCAGTGAATGGGTGCCGTCAGAATGAGAGTCCAAACAGCTGATAAAAACATCACAGTAATCCACACGACTCCAGTCCATCAATTAACAGCTAAAAAATTCCTCTTACTGATTTCTCAAGTGAGAAGTCGTCTCGTCTGAATCAGGAGAGAAATATGCAACAAATATGTTGATGGTTTTTAATATGAGAGGACAACAGGAGATATTGGAGGAAGCATTTTTATGGATTATGGACTCATATTTTGGTAGAAAGCAACTGTTTAAATCTTTTAATAATGGATTTGGTTCTTACAAACATGCAGCTTTTTGCTTCAGAAGACATTAATTGATGTTCCGGAGTGGTGTGGATTACTTGTGGATTACTGTGATGTTTTTATCAGCTGTTTGGACTCTCATTCTGACGGCACCCATTCACTGCAGAGCATCCATTGGTGAGCAAGTGATGCAATGCTACATTTCTCCAAATCTGTTCTGATAAAAAAAAAACAAGCTCATCTACATCTTAGGTAGCCTGATGGTGAGTACATTTCAGCAAATTTTCATTTTTGGGTGAACTATTCCTTAAAATTTTTACCTCATTACCTAACTTTGTGCTCTGGCTTCTGACACGTCTGTATTTTTGTACTTTGTCTTCAGATACTTTAACACCTTCTAGCCCTAATATGTTAATCTGACCCTGATGATTCTTCATTTTATTTTTGTTGTTTTAAAAATGTCTTCAAAAGGTCTTACATTTAGCTTCATGTAAGGCAGTTGAATGTCTTCCAGTGGTTCTGATCAATGTCTGATGTGTTCAGGAGCAGCTCGATGTCTCCATACACCGTGTGGATCTCAAAGGTCTCAGACACAGATGTAGTGATGGCTCCTCTGGGCTCTGGTGGAGTGGTGACTGTGGACATGGGAGGCTATGTCAAACTATGGGAAACAGGCCTGGACAACCTGCAGCGCTCTCTGCTGGAGTGGAGGAACATGATCGGAGCAGAGGATGGCAGGCCAATCCAGGTAGGACTTTCAGGCTGAATTTCACAAAACAAAAAAAAGAGCATGTCTGAGTCAGATTTCACCCTAAAAAGAATAAAAAATTAATTATATTTTGCTTAAAAATAAAGTGTTTTAGGAGCATTAAGACCTTTGTTGCATTGTGACTTAATTTTTATGACAAATAATGTCAAGTTTTGGTTGCTGTGATATGTCCAGATTTGTTTTGTTTGAGAAACCTTTTGGAAGTAAGTTCAACCTGTTTTGGTTTGTGTGTTTTGTTTTAGTTTTGTGTTGTTGTTTAGTTTTTTTCTTTCTCTTTTTGTTGTTGTTTGTTTTTTGTTTTGCTGGGTTTTGTTTGTTTGTTTTACTGTTTTTTGTTTGTTTTTTGTTTAGATTTTTTGCTTTGCTGTGTTTTGTTTTGTATTGCTCTATTGTTTTTCTTCTTTGTTTTCAAATTCCTTTTGGTGCTGCCTTTGCTGCAGGAATTACAAATTTTTGGTCCTGCAACACAGAACTCTCCAAAATGTACAGTTCTATTTCTTACCACGTGGTGGCAGACTTATATAAGAAATGTGTTATTATTTTATTTATTTATATTGGTAAGGTTGTAAAATTGCTAAATAAGAAAGTTTATAGTGTAGTGAAATAATATTAAGAAGATATTCATTTTGTATTTGTTTTTTCATGTGACTACATCTTTGTGCACTCGGCGTTTTTGTTTGGTGAGATATTTCTTGGCAGATTCTGCTTCTGTATTGAGTATTGTAAGACTTTAAGAATCAGTTGTCTGCAGTATTACTGACAATGATCATACACACACTTGAGATAAAATGCATAAGACAAAGATTTCTGTTTGTTTTATACTGAAGTCAATTCTCTCCACACTTGTTGTTAGGTTATTCTGCCACTCTGAAGCTTGTTTGGACATACATGCTGCTAATACTGAGTATTTTCAGTGGGAGGCTCCTTCATGGCAGCGCTCCAGTTCTGCGCTGTGTGAATCACAGATAATCTTTATAGTGGAGTAAATACACCAAACATCCAGTCAGAGGATATAATGGAGAGCACTGACCTAATGTATAGTGGATTTCTATGGGTGGACAGATCATGTATATGAGGCAAAATATGTTAATATTACGAATGAATGAAACATAAGTGTTGGTTTGAGACTGGTTGTTTATTGGTTGCTCTACATGACACATCTGTGGACTGAGGGTTACTAAAAATGACCAGACATTAATACATCTGTGGTTGCTAGTGTTTCTTCCATCAAAAATAGCACCAAACAAGTTCATCTGTTGGCGTCCATACTTGTTGTTCACAGCCATGAGACTCTAATGTTGCTTCAAAAGTGCCTCCTGTATTGTATATTCACAGAAAAGCCAATTAGCGATACACTCCAGCATTTAAATGCAGTTGTGTCGCTCTCAACACTTTGTGGGATGTATATGTGGCCTAAATATCTAAATCATAATATTGACTGGTTTGGTATGTGTTTGAAGTGTGTGTTTGTCTAAGAGTTCACACACTTCCTGTTCTTTCATACAGGTACACAAAGAGCCTGTTAACCGTCATGGTCATTCTGCACCTCACTGGCTCTCTTTAAGCACACTTACACCAGCCTCCTTATTTTTACATCAAATATTTGCCCAAATGGTTGCATTCTTGGCCTTTCAGTGCAGCTCTGTGAATAGCATATGTAAGTTTGTTCAGTTGAGTATCGCTCATGTGAGAGTGTTCACTGGTTTGCCACACTGAAGGAGGGTGAAGCGACAAACAACAAGGAAAGAAAAACAGGGTTCATTACTAATATTATAAGATGAAGGTTTATCATGACGCTCAAGACTGTGTTATCGTGCTGATGGTCTGGGGGTTTTCTTAACGGCCACAGTGTCTTGGATCCGCCCTCCAGCCCACCCCAGTCTCCACATCACACACAAACAAACACAATTTCTCCATCACTCTGCTTCTACAGATACAGTTGACACAGGAGATCCCACGCACTTGTAGGGGAAAACGAAATCTGGTTACTATTGTTAGCCATTCATTTCTGTGGGGAAAATTAAGTGGAATTTCTAGTAAATTCAAAATTTAACAATTAACTTTTTTTTTTCTTTTAATTTTACTGTCCTTTTGGGTAAAGAAGCTCAAAGACTGTGACTAAACTTGAGTGTATCTGCATGATTTTGCAGATTTTTTTTTACAGATGAATTAAATGTGCAAGTAAAAAATAAGTTAGATGTCATCAATAAGTGAGATGGCTTTTTGGCTTTGTTTCACTGCAGTACAGCAGAACTGCAGTCTGGTAGTGTTCTCTAGTGTTCTTGTTTGAACCATTTCATTACACCAAATACACAAAATAATGTTCTTTTTAGCAGCATCATATGACCCCTTTAACATAAATTCACCATATTTTAGCTGGAACAGTTTATTGATGATTGATAAAAGTATATATATTTATAAAGCTATCAAACTCCATTTAGTAAATACATAAATATATATTGGGGGGGAAAGCTATCTAAAAATCTATTAGACCAAAGTTGCTTAATAATTACTTGAAATAAAGTCTGATAAATTAAATCTGCCACTGATATACACATAAAAAATTATATATTTTAACATATTTAACATTATTATACTTATATTTTTGTTAAATTATATTACATTAAATTGTTATATATATATATACAGTGCCTTGCGAAATAGTCAAACCCCTTCATTTTTTTCACGTTTTATGTTATGTTGCAGCCTTATGTTAAACTGCTTTAAATTACTTTTTTTTTTTCACAGCAGTCTACACTCCATACACCATAATGACAAAGCAAATAACAGGTTTTTAACATCTTTGCATATTTATTAAAGATAAAAATCTTAAATGATTCTGTTGCATAACTATCTGGGACAGTTTAAATTTAGCTCAGGAGCATTCATTTTGCTTGTAAATGTTACCACACTTTGAGTGAAGTTAACCTGTGGCAAATTCAATTGAATGGGTATGATTTGGAAAGGCACACACATCTTAATAAAAGGTCTAACAGCTGAAAATGCACATTAGAGCAAAGAACAAGCCTTGAGGTCAGAAAAACTGCCTGTGGAGCTCAGAGACAGGATTGCATCAAACCACACATCAGGGGAAGAGTTCAGAAAAAAAACAAAATCTGCTTGGAAAAGTCCTGGAAAACACACTTGGAATTTGCAAAACAGCACCTAAAGGACCCTCAGACTGTGCTTTGCGTTGTCATTATGGTGTATGGAGTGTAGATTGATGTGGGGGGGAAAAAAAGTAATTTAAAGCAGTTTAACATAAGGCTGTAACATAACAAAACGTGAAAAAAATTAAGGGGTTTGAATACTTTCGCAAGGCACTGTATGTATATATTTATATTATATCATTTGTAAGTAAAAGGTTCTTTATAGTGAAAAAAGGTTTGTCAGATTATTAAAATGTTCCACTTTACACTGAAAGTTTCTTCCGGGAACCCACAATGTTCTTCAACTGCATTGTTGTAAAAAAACTTTTTTTGGAAGCTGTATTTTGAAGATTGTGGTGACTCCAGGGTTTTTATTTCGGTTCAGGTTTGGCCGATTCTAAATGCTAAAGATGTTCTTTCATGTATTTGGCCTGGTCTTCAAATGTGAGATCTTCTCTGTTAAAACTGTTACTGTAGAGAGTGATGGAAACATTCCTGTCCCAGACTGCATCTGGCAGGATCTGTGCCATCTCCTCATTCTCTCAGTCTGTCGACCGTCTCGTTCCTCTGCTTCATTTTACTACTCTCCCTTTGGTCCTTTATCTCTCCCTCCATCACAGCGCTCATATTTTCTGCTCTCTCACACTGTTTCATTCAGCCGCAATCTGAGGCCTTTTGTGCAGCATTCTTGTTCCCAGAGGAGATGAGCACTCTGTGAGTTAGCTAGTGTTGTTTTTCCTCCTCCCTCTGTGCATTAATCAGCTCATGCATTTCCCACAACTCCCCAATTCTCTTTACATGAGTTACGAGAAGCCCTTTGACCGTGAATCAGTTTCTCCTGCTGATGTGGGGGCCGTCACACGTCCAAACATAACCAAAGGGCTGAAGCTGGCAAATGCATGGCTTTCAGTTACATTACATTACGACGTCCTGTGAAACATCCCATTCCTCTCAGCTTGTTAATTGAAAGCACATTGTAAACATCAGACAGGATACGCTCATTACATGAAGTTAACCTCATCAGTACACATTGTCTGTAGAGCACAGCAGTGATCGCCCACTTTTTTCCAGCAGCAACAAAAGTATTGTTCCCATAATTTTCTTCATAGGCCTCTTAAAAATCTTTGGTAAAGATTCTGAGCAATAACTCATCAAACCAGTCAACTCCAAGATTAACAAACACTGACTTGGAGCAAAATGTATTTAAATTTTTTTTTTTTTTTAATTAACTACAGTACTTATCCCATAAAGGATGATGTAATTGGATCATAAACAACAGGGAAATATATTAAAATATTGCCTGTAAGTGATGTGTAAAAATATCTAGTTAAATGCTAAATATTCCAAGTGTATTAAATTAAAATATATATTTGTGCTTTTTAAAATTTAATAAACTGACATGCACAAATAAATATACCATTTCTGGGCTCAGAGGTTTTACATATTATCATTAAAAATCAATTTCTCTATGGATTTTTATTTCTAGGGAATTAGGGAATCAATATAAATGACCTAAAAAAGTTGGGTTACAGACAAACTCTAATGCCATTCAAAAGTTTAAAGCCAGTATTATTTATTAATTTATTTATTTATTTATTCGTTTATTCATTCATTCCAGGGATGCATTAAATTGATGTAACAGTAAAGACTTTTACATTGTTACAAAATATTTCTGTTTCAAATATATGTTCTTCTTTTGAACTTTCTATTCATCAAAGAATCAAAAATTATATATCATGGTTTCAACAACAATATTAAGCAGCATAACTGTTTTCAACATTAATAATAATATGAAATGTTATGAATGACATTATGAAGGATGATTTCATTGAAGTAATGATGCTAAACATCCGGCTTTGCATCACAAAAATAAATGGCATATAAGTATATTCAAATAAAAATTTTATTTTAAGATCTACAGTCATAATATTTCACAATATTACTGTTTTAACTGTTTTTTTTTTCTTTCAAAAATATTACATAACTCTTACCAACCCCAGACTTTGGAAGCATGTTTTTTGACAGATGTTAGTTTGCTGTGATTGTATGAAGGTGAATCTGTGAACATCTGTTCACACCTGGTCTACAAAAATCATGTCGCTACAAATAAACTGAACCTCAGACGCTCAGTGTAAACAGCGTAATGGGAAACATCTTCTAAACTTTTGAAAGAGACTATTATGACTTCATACCGAGTTATCAATCATCTTACCCCAATATATGAGAACAGCACATCAAAACTTTCCATAATTAAACAGCCTGGATTAGAGTGAACGTCTGTTTGTTTTTTTTCACTCTGATGTCAGATATTTGGAATTTTGTTTTTGTACCTGTACAATGTGAATGTACCATATGTCTATAGGACTAGATTAGATGACATGACGTGCACCAGGATGCATTGGGGCTCAGTACAGTCATGCAGGGAATGTCTGACCCTGCCGTCAACGCCGCTCACTGATCCTGCTCCATACATGTCCGTCTGTCTGTATGTGTTTATAAAGTGATCTGTGTAGCATCAGTGATGCAGGATAAAGATATGATATGTGTCTGACGGGAAATGAGTGGACGCTTTGACTCACCCCTTACACACACATCACAAACCACATACTCACAAAGAGAGAGACTCTATTTTAACTAGAAATATTTATGATCTAATACTGTCTGAAATCTGAGACAGTGTTGCACATTATTAGAGACTTACATTTTTAATTATTGAAGAACTAAAATTACTGAAACTAAAACTGAAATAAAAATAAATAAATTTTTTTTTTTTTTTTTTTTTTCATTTCAAATTATTAATAAATACTAAGATAGTACAGTGATACTAAAATAAGACTGGGCGGGACTACCCATTTTGTAACTTTAGTTTTGTTGTTTATTTTGTTATGGATGTATGTATGTGTTTCATAATGTGAAGTTGTTGTTGTTTTTCACTCATGCCAATCTTTCTAATAAAAAGAAAAAATAGAGTAAAATTATTCAATTATTATTTTAAAATAATTATTTCATTCACTGGACTAACAAAAACAATAGGTATTGGCACATGGTTATTTATTATACAGCCTAAATTGTCCTACCAGGATTTTAGGGGCCTTTTTGGATTTTTGCCACCTGAATGACTCAATGATTGTGAAACCTGTGAGATCAAGTGAAAACTTGGCGCTGATGTAATGAAGGGGTTTGTGGGCTTGCTGGGCCTCCTGTGGTCAGCGGCTAGTACAGCGCGTCTGACTGCATTGTCCTGCTCTCTGTGTGGGTCTCCTGCTAAACGCAGTGGCCTCTCAGCAACCATGCTGGGACATTTCATTTCAGAAACAACCTCAAAACACGGGCATTCTTCACATTCCAGCCCGGGCTCCTGCTCTGCCCACTGGGCTGCTAGAAAGGGCAGTGTGGCGCTGCTCCAGGACAGGGACCAGTACCTCTGTCTGGATGCAAATACACCAACAGACTGACTTTCTGATATGTGTTCAAAACTAAAGGCAGCTGCTGCCTCACTGCACAGACAGTCAATTACTAGTCAGCATTTGCTTTTATAATCACATTAGCTGCTAGCCGTAATTGTTCTACATTAAGTGAAATTGGATAAAAAGCTTAAATTAGAGGCTTGCCCTAGTTAGCAATGATGACCCATTTGCTTTGATGTGATGTGTGTCATTATTGTTCCGTAATTTAAGTCTCCTGTACATACAGTGACCGCAAAAATCTGATCTGTCTGTCTGTCAAGCCCGCAGGTGATGGAGATTTACCGCTGATTACAGAACCGGCTTTACTGACAAGATGCGCGTTAAATATCGCATGCAATTTATCCTGCAGCCCTACTGTCTGTCTGTCTGTCTGTCTGTCTGTCCTCTCAGTAGGGTTTTGTGAGTGCGCGTGTGTCTCATCTTTGTGCTGTTAAATCCTGGCTAATCTGATGCCACGTTGCACACACACAAATCTCTTTATCATAAACAGAACTGTCACTGATCTTCCATAGAAATGGGAAGCAACCTCTTTTCCCACCACTGTCCCTGCGCTACCCCTCCTTCAGACTAAACACAGGAAAAACATCAAATCTCAGAATGCAATAATTTGGAAGTGTATATAGAGCACAAGTCTTGTACAGACATCTAAAATTATTTATCGTTCATCAATTATCTGTAGTCTTCAACTGCATCTTGCTGGTGTGGCGATTCTGTACGTGTTATTGCCAAACGTAGTTAATCTCTCTATAAGCCACATTCGTCCTGAGCATCTGTAAGCCATCTCTCTCTCTCTCTACACACACACAGAAATGTTGAATGTGCATGACCTCATATCAGATTGAGGCATATGTGTGTGTAGGTGTCAAAAGTGCTTTGAGTGTAATCTTACACTCACAGAAAAGCTTTACAGTTTCTTAACATCCTGTATTAAAACAGCAGTCATGCATACGTAAACACTGACTCAGACATACAGTAGCATGCACACCAGATCTGTTTGAAACGATGTTATGTCTTTGAATATTTAGACTGGAGGACTTTATTGTTATTTTGGAACAAATCCAGAATTAAAATGAGAATGCTGACTCTCATGATCTTTATCATTGGGTTCTTGTGATCTCTCTGATCTATTTAAAAGGGAAAGCTGACAGACGATGGAACAGACAATGGAACACAAAAGGGGATATTTTGACCACAACATGAACTGCCTTAGCATAGAAAGGTCAAATTATCTGGAGATTTCACACAGTCATGAGGGTCTAGATTGCTCTCTATGATATAATTTCCGGTTTTTATTTCTCCTTTTCTGCATAACAAAGTCATGCAGTTTTGGAATGTCATGAGGGTGACTTATTAAAGTTAAAAGCATTTAAAGGTTCATTCTTGCAGCATAAGAATTTTTGTGAATTTCCACACAGGGCAGATCTTTCCTCTGCTTGTACCAAATGCTCTGTTTACTTCAACTGTTCCTTTCGATATGACTTGGCAAAAACATTTCTACTCATCCCCTACAAGTGTACTTCCTTTCAGTGTGCAGTTTAAAACAGGAAGTGTCATAAAAAGCTCAGTGACTTCATGTTCATTGACCTTACGTGACCTTGCCTAGTCAAAACATGCAGGATCGTAGTATAACGAGAAATGGCCTTTATATTAATAGGAGGCAAAGGAACGGTCTGGAACACTAAGTGTCTGTTCTCTCTCAGTCCAGCTGTGCTGCTATCTCTCCCGAAGACACAATCACACTTCAAAGTGCTGCTCTCGCAACAACTACGAAGCCTTCATAGGAAGTTCTAGCAGTTATGTTCAGACTGTATTTGCACACAGCAGGGGCTGTAAAGGAGTGTGTGGAGGTCATGAGAAAGCCACAACCCTCCGGATGGGTGCGTGGGTATTAAAAAGAGGCCCAGTGCTTTATGATATTAATGGACTGTGTGAAGGAAGATCAGAGAAGTGAGAGAATACCACTAAATAGATGAGGAGACCTGCTTCAGAGAGCTTCAAGTCTTAGAAGACATACACACAGATCACACTTTAAAATCTGTTGCGATATCCAGTGGCGTACTCACAAGCAGTGATGTCTCATGTGATAGTTATTTATTATTTTGCTTTTTTTTTTTCTTCCATCTTTCTGGATTTCTATCATTTAAAATAAACAAACTTTGGCATTGTCAGTCAGTTTGTGACTTTTTTCCTGCCAGCTTATCATGAAAATCAACATTCAGTTGCATGATTCATTGTTTCCTGCGATTGTGATTCCAGAATAAATACATCTTTGACATTAAAAAGTCAGTGTAAGCACACCTTTTCCTTGTAAATGGGACACTTCCTTTGCAAATGACTCTAGAAATGGGAAAAATCTATCCCGAATTTAATTTGGTATATAATCATTTGACTAAATATGCGTCTCGTTTTCCACTTAGCAAAAAGATGAAGATCAAAAGAGTGACTGTTCAGATAATATTTCAACAAAGATCTGGTTTTTGAAAGCATCTTTTTGTTTCAGATCACCATTCAGAGAGACAGTGGACAAGATGTCAGCTCCCCCAAACACGGCAAGATTGATCCCAGAAATGCCCCTCATGTAGGCGGGAACCAGTGGGCTGGAGGCACAGGTACAGTAAATCACATCCCATTGCACTGTGTCAAAAGGTTTATCGTTATTGTGCACAGACCCTGATCAATATCAGCACACAGGCTGTTTTTTGCATTTGCTTCCATCATTCATCAAAAAAATATAACACTTATATAGGAACTCAACATAGTGCCTATATGTTTGTGTAGGCGGCAGAGATACAGCGGGTCTTGGAGGGAAAGGAGGCCCCTACCGTCTGGACGCCGGACACAAAGTTTACCAGATTTCTCAGGTGGAGAAAGACGCCGTGCCCGTTGAGGTGAAGAGAGCAGCACGGGAGATGGCCGAGAAGGCTTTTAAGCAGAGGTACACCCATCTGTCTCTCATTCATCACTCACTCAGTTGAAACCCTCACAGATTTCTCCAAAAAGCCTACACTTGACCCTGTGTGACCTTTACCCTCTGCTCTGAGTGCTTGTTAATCTCTCCAGATATTCTGCAGTGCTCTGTCAATGAAGCTCACACTCTGTGCTTGTGAAAGCGTATGACTATATTCATGTGTGAGGCTCTGTATTATATGCTCGAGTATGCAGTAAATGCATTAGTAATGCATATGTCCTTTGATGAAAAGGCAATTCCATAATGCACTGCATTGAGCTCAGTAAAAAAAACTGATGTAAGACAGGGTAATTATAGTTATAGTATTTAAAACCTTTTTTTTTTAACTCGAAATAAAATAAGAAAAAAAATCATCTAGTTGCCAAGTCTGCATTTCTAATTTTCTTTTAGTTTGACTTGATGTACAAACGTAAGTTAAAAAAAATAATAATTATAAAAAAAAAGAAAACTAATAAAAGTGACAGAAACACACTACAAAATTACCGGACAAATAACTAAAATTAAAATGGAAAATAGCTTATTCAAAAAAATACAATAAAATAAACATAAAAACTACAACAGTGTCTCAATGATCCAAGATGGCAAATGAAGTGAGATATTGATTTAAATATTCTTGTATTAAAAGTCAACATTAATTGCCATCCGCAACGCATTTTAATTCCATAATATGACATCTGAGTAAAACAGAACATTGTTTGGAAAAGTTGGGTTAGCTTATTGGATCATGAAAAGTGATGTTAAATGCCGGAATGAATATGTGTTTGCTAAAACAATAGTTTTTGGCTATTTAAGTTAAAATGATCCAATAACCACATGGCCTTAATGACGCCAGAGGAAATGGAAAGTCATTGAAAGTCAATAAGACAACAAAAACAAGCCATTTTTGGAATAGCATACACGGATTCATTCATAATAAGACAATCAACCTGCATCAAGTGCAGTACTCTGCTTTAAAACAGACCAGAGATACTATTATGAGTGGCTCATAAAAAACAGCATGTTCCAGATCACAGAATGGACACTACAGAGCCACAGAGCTCTTCAACAGTCCCAGATATATCTCAAATATGCAGCCTGTGAATGCTGCGATTCACTACGCTGCATGAAGCAAGTGAAGGAAGCCCTCTGTTTGGCCCAGTGGACTGCACAAAAGCTGCACAAACACACACTTATAAACTTAATGTGATGCATATTTGTTAGTCATACATAAATGAAACCGGTCATATTTCTGTAACCACATTTGTTTACAATAACCATATTTATGATCTATAAATCCAATTTGTTTTAATCTCATCAAATGAAGTGAGATATTGATTTAAATATTCTTGTATTAAAAGTCAACATTAATTGCCATCCGCAACGCATTTTAATTCCATAATATGACATCTGAGTAAAACAGAACATTGTTTGGAAAAGTTGGGTTAGCTTATTGGATCATGAAAAGTGATGTTAAATGCCGGAATGAATATGTGTTTGCTAAAACAATAGTTTTTGGCTATTTAAGTTAAAATGATCCAATAACCACATGGCCTTAATGACGCCAGAGGAAATGGAAAGTCATTGAAAGTCAATAAGACAACAAAAACAAGCCATTTTTGGAATAGCATACACGGATTCATTCATAATAAGACAATCAACCTGCATCAAGTGCAGTACTCTGCTTTAAAACAGACCAGAGATACTATTATGAGTGGCTCATAAAAAACAGCATGTTCCAGATCACAGAATGGACACTACAGAGCCACAGAGCTCTTCAACAGTCCCAGATATATCTCAAATATGCAGCCTGTGAATGCTGCGATTCACTACGCTGCATGAAGCAAGTGAAGGAAGCCCTCTGTTTGGCCCAGTGGACTGCACAAAAGCTGCACAAACACACACTTATAAACTTAATGTGATGCATATTTGTTAGTCATACATAAATGAAACTGGTCATATTTCTGTAACCACATTTGTTTACAATAACCATATTTATGAATCTATAAATCCAATTTGTTTTAATCTCATACATTTTAAAGAACTTAATATTGCCTACTCCACAGCTAACTGTATTTTAATAGTTCATACTTTTTAACTGAATAAATATGTTTTTACAATGTACAGATTTTTACTAAATCTAAGCAATTGAAGTGAATGCATTTTGAAAATATGATTAAATAAAGTCAAAGAGATGCAAATATTTAGTAATAAACAATGCAGAGTTATGCAGTTAGGCCTAAATATTTTTGGTGTGTCCTTTGCTTGTTTTTAAAGCTTATTTTGTTCTTAAAGGGGGTTTAATAGGCTTTTTCTTGTTCTTTTGAAATTAAATGGTTTTACTAAAGTTACTAAAACAACTTTTTCAGTTCTGAGAGTTAGAGAGAGGACAGAAAATGCTCACATAAAACTAAGTTTTTTGTTTTTGATGCAATAAACCTTGAATAAGATTAGGAGTGGACAAACACTACACTGTAAAAAATTACCGTGAATTTAACGGTAAAAGGCTGTAAAAATGCTCCGTTTGTGGTCTTTACATGCTTATTTTAATTTTATTTTTATCCATCAACGTGATTTGATAGAGAGTAATAGGTCTCGTGACTTTCGTCAAATCAAATTGTGCATAGAAAACTTTAACCGCCAACTGTTTATCATGGCTGCTGAAAGCGCATTCTTCAAGCATCAATTCAGTCGCATCTTCCTCTTATTTAATATGTTAAGCTAAATTTCGGATTTCTGCTTACTAAATTATTTGTATATAGGCTATGCTGGCCTGAAATTTGGTGTGAGGTTGCGGGTATTGCATACACTGTTAACTCCCGCAAGTGCCACGTTCGGTAAATTCCCACTCACTTAAACTTACTATATTAACTACTAAACTACTAAAATTCCCCTACTATATACGGTCAAAAACTGTATTGGACATTACATGTATTGGACATTAATTTTATGGTAGTATACCGTTTTTGGAAGTGAAAAAGACCGTATAATTTACAGTGAATAACTGTAAATTGACATTCCCAGAATTCCCTGCGTTACATTTCAAATTTTATGTTTTTTTTTGTTGAAATAACTATGTTTCTTCTTAGTTTTTTCTTATCAGTTTTGTATATTAGGGTTGTGTTACACCTAATATTGTTAAATGAATGTTTATTGCATTATTTCAGTTTAATGTGTGTTACCATGATGGTGTTTAGTGTTTGTGTGAATGACACTGTGCACCTTCTATATATGTTATTATTTAAAATTGCGGCAACCACAGCTGCCGTTTTTTTACCGTAAATTTTCCGGAATTTTTTTCAGTGTAGGTAAGTGCAGAATATGGCCCCTTTTAAGGCTGCTGTGTGTCGCCATTGAAATTAAATTTAGTGAGAAAATCAAAGCTTGTCTTTGTCTTAAACATCAGAGGCTGAAGCAGAAGAATGCAGCTCAGTGTGTTCTGTGGGGAAGAGTATTTGAGCAGAACCGCGATATAGACGAGCATTTTTTTTATGTAGCCTCTGAACACCATCCCCGGGCCATACCTATCTTGCAGGACCGCTTCATCTCTGAAACCTTAACAAATCAGTATACTTGTTCAGTAATTTAAAGATGATATTTTTATAGAAGAGTATGGCAGACTTTCAGAAATATGCTCAGATCCAGATCAGGCACTTAAACTTTAGTTATGACTTGACACAGAATTCTAACTTGTTTTAACAAACTTTTAAAATGCAGCTATTGCAAACTTTCATCAAATCCATTACTAATACCTCTGATGTTTGTGCACTAAAATAATGTCACATCCTGGAGGATGCTATCATTTAGGGAATGTCTTTTGTTAACTGAGGGCATATTGCAAAATACCAACATTAGCAATTAAAACAATGTAATGTCCTAAAATATTATATATAATACTACCAAAGTAATGAAATAGGAATGCTATCCTCCTTTACAAATTGTCCTGTTCTTTTCTATGCATAGTATTAAGACGGGGTCATGAAACGCATAGCAGTATGGGTGGATGTTTGTTTGTAGTGCTGTTCAATTCTTTGTGCTGCACATTGTTGTGATCTGCATGCTCTCTGTCACGTTCACAATATTTCAATCTCAGCTGACATGGCTTGTGTCAGGGGTTTCCACAGGAAGAGGAACTTTATCTAACTTTTTTGCAAGTATGTGTTGCACCCCAGCAACTTTACTTTGTAAAAATAATCTTTCAATTTTGCTGAACTACTGTATGATGCAGGAAAAGCTGAATTTATTATTTAATAGATATACCTGAGCAGCAGAGTTTGGGGTCCGTAATGTTTTATAACATTTTTGAAAGAAGGCTCAATGAGGCTGCATTTATTTGATCAAAAATACAGTTTAAAAGTTTTCTATTTGAATATATTTTGATATGTTTTGAAAAAAAATGACCAACTTTTTCTGAGCTTTTTCTTGTGTTGTGAAAGTGTGTTAGTCAGTCGAGTGAAGCAGAGCACTTTTTCACTCTCATTGGCAGCAGGGCAACGCTGGCCAGCTCTCTCTCTCGGCTCTGTGGACAGGTTTGGAATTCAGGAGAAAATAGCAGCAGCAGTCTGTCCTCTCTCCAATAACACTGTGCAAAGAATGTGAGCTTCAGAGGCCAGACAGGAAACCCACAGCCTGTGCGTGTGTGAGAAAGAGAAGCACAGCAGGAAGAAGGAGAGAGAAAGAGAACGCTCCTTACGTGTTGCATATCTTTTGTAGCACAGAAACAATCACTTCTGTGACATTTTTGCTCCAGGTGCTGATGGAGAGGTGAGGGATGATTTCTTTTGAAAGGAAACACAGTGTCACAGTATTTTGAGATAGGGCTTCAGATCATGCTGTCTGGTCTGATCTCACGCCTGATAGTGTCAGTGTGTGAGCGCACCTGAGCTCTGTGGGCCGCTAGGGTCTAGACGCTCTTCACACTCTGTTTCCTCCTCATGACATCAAACGCATCTCTCTAACGCACACACACATTCATGCAGGCACATCCTGGGTCTGAGCAGAAGAGCAGGATTAACTGTAGAATCCTTTTAGGGATTATTGGCTTTACCCCACCTGTGCGGCAGAACCCACCCCTGTCCATCAAATGACTGAGGGAGTCTCACAAAACCTGTCAGGAACATTGTCCAACGGGCCAGATTTCACCACAAAATAAATAAATGAAAATAAAATAAAAATAAAATAAATAAAATGTTTGTAAGGTTTGACATAGCAGCGCTGGCTTAGCCAGTCCGTAAGGTTTGGTTTGATGGTACTATTAGCTTTGCCAACCAGTTGTTGACAGATGGATTTTTAAGAAAACCTATTTGAAAACAGTCATTGTATTTGCAGTTCTGGCACAGATTACAAATTTCACTTTAAGACAAAACAATAAAATAATCAAATGTATGGGCTTTTTAGTTTCATTTGTTTGTTTATTTATTTATTTAGTTAGTTTGCAATTTTCATATTTTAAAACAATTAAGCACAACCCCTCCTAATCTCATTATTTTAATGCAAAAAGTAATAAAAAAAAAAAATTTGATGTAATACATATTATAGGGTGACCAGACGTCCCGTTTTTCCCGGTGTTGTGCCCATTTTCGACTCCCTGCCAAATTATTACCCCCGTAGTTGAAATCGCTACCTGATTGCCTAATCCTAACCCCTCCCCCACACCTAATCCTAAACCTACCAATACTAGGGGGGTAATAATCTGGCTGGGTCAGAATTCGGCACTACACCGGGACAGTCCCGTATTTCAGCTCTGTTTTTAGTGTCCCGACTTATTTTGAAAAAATCATGTTTTGTCCCGTATTTCAAAATTTCTTTACGGCTGGGTGATCAGAGCGAGTAGTAGAAGTGTTCTGTCACGCGAGAACAGCCTAATCAAAGGTAACTAAGCTTGTCGAACAAAATTACCATCCAATAACAATTCGTTATCGATTAACATGCAGCAAGTGAAGGCAGGATAGATAGGCGGAATCACACTGAATGACAGACACACAGGAGCGCTCTCTCGGCCGCGGGATCCCAGTTCTGTGATCAGTTCTCTTTGCGCAATTGTCAAATACACACACAGCAGTCAAAATGGCCATCGTGTGGAGTATCTCACGTAAATACATTCGTTATGGCTTACGTGAACGTAAACAGGTGGGTGAAAACCGGATATGTGTCAGTGTATTTACATGATTCATTCGGTCTTAAAGGGACAGCAGCCTAATTAAATACCTGTCTGTCTCATTACTGTTAATCAAACAACAAAATGTTAAATAAAGTATACATGTTAAACCTACTGTATTAGAAAAACGAGTTTATTTAATGTGTATCTATTGTATTTGTCTTATGGTTTGTAATTTGCTTCTGTATTCTCTACGTGTGTGTATGTAGGATAGATATATATATACATATATATATATATGTATATATATATATTTTTTTTTTTTTAATTCTCATATCGTGGTCATATATCATGCAAAATAATCATATATCATTTTATAAAAAAAAAAAGGTCCTTCTCAACCAGAGGGCCAGGGCCCACTAGGACTTAATAGTTCAATTAATAAATTATTATTAATATTAAAATTTTAAAAAATAAATAATCAGAATCTAAAATAAAATGCATTTTGTCATAATTACAAAAAATATCTTAACTTTTTTAATATTAGGCTTCATCAAAGGTATCTTGTCTCAAATGGGGGTAGAGTGGGTGTCTTTCAAATATTATGTTGGGGCTAGGGGACTTCAAGTCAAAAGGTTTGTGAACCACTGAAACTTTGGTTTCTTTATTATTTATTTATGTTTATTGAATTGTGAATTGGACATGTTCTCTTGACATTGGTGCAGAAATCCTTGTGGGTGACTAGTGACCCGGCAGAGCTCTTAACCCCACACTGATGAGTCTGACAGGGCTTTGCGCACCTGGGTGGGTGTGTGTGTGGGTGCTGGTCGTGGAGCTGTAGGGACTTGCCCCAAGAAAAATGTTTATCCTACATCTGCTACTCTCAAGTGTGCGTTATTCTCTATCTTGACAGCTGTACTTAATGTGTGACTAAACAGAACCTGTGTTGATCAATGTCCTCTGAAATCCTCCTGCCCCAGAACACTCCTTAAAGACTTACTACACATTGTTCACAAGTTTAAACGCCTCAGGGAATGAATCTAAATGAAGAGAGATTTTCTGAAGAAAATGTTAGGAGCTCTTATCTGTACAAAACTCACAGCCAAGATGCTAGAAGAATATGAATGTGAGGTAACTAGGGTGGCTGCTAAGTGGTTGCTTAATAAGACATGATTTTGAAAAATTATTCATGTATTTAATACACAGATTGGCACACACTAAAGTTTAATATGTATGGTCAGAGGTTTGTTCAAATCTCACACGAGCAGTAATAATACTGGTGCTTTACTCTGTACAGTTAGTCATTGTAAACACTGCAGATTGTGTTTGTATAACTGAAGTGTCATGTTTTTATTTCAGGCTCAAGGAAATTGAGATGAGTGAGTATGATGCCAGCACGTACGAGCGTTTCTCAGGAGCGGTCAGACGACAGGTCCAGTCGCTCCGCATCATTCTGGATAGTCTGCAGGTAAACACCTCTAGTAGTCCCGCTTCAGAAGTGTCCAGCGATTCCCAAACATTTTCATGCTAGGACTCACCTAGAGAGGTTTTTATTTATCTCAAGACCCACCAAAAACTTGTTAGTGAAATTTAGATAAACGTATTTACTTATCAGTTTAATTGCATTATGATAAGGCTTACTATCATAATGCTAAGGCTTAATATCATTCAAAATTTGGGTTCGGCAAGATTTTAATTAGGTTTTGAAAGAAGTCTCTTGTGCTTACCAAGGCTGCATTTATTTGACTAAAAGTGCAGTAAAAACAGTGAAATTTAACAATATAAAATAACTGTTTTACTTTTGAATATATTTTAAAATGTAATTTATTTCTGTGATGGTAAAGCTGAATTTTCAACATCGTTACTCCAGACTTCAGTGTCACATGATCCTTCAAAAATCATTCTAATATGCTGATTTGCTGCTCATTAAACTTTTCATATTATAAACGTTGAAAACACTTATGCTAATTATACTCAATATTTTTGTGGTAACGTTAATGGTAATACTTTTTTCAGAAGTCCTTGCTGAATAAATGTATGATTTATATATAATTAATTGTGCGACTAATTAATCTAATCCCACCTAACATTAAAGTTTTTAATTATACTTTTATATTGCAATAATTTCACATTCAATCTTCAAATTAATGTAGAAACAACATAAATTATTTTTTAATATTTGTTTAATGCCGTCTTTTTTATGACTAAAGGCAAGTATCTCTGATACCAACTGATGTCTCTATGAATTTTTTTCCTAACATTTAACCATTGACTATAGCCATTCAACATTACAGTATAATTAAGAGCTATCCATTTAACATTTATTAGACTTTTAATTTAAGTGAACTTAAAACAATCTTCACATAAACCCATTATAATAAATGTCATATATAGCTACCTGTGCCCTTCAGCAAGAAAATATAGCCTAATTTAATAAAGTTATCAAACACTAAATTCTAAATTAAATAAACATTTAATCGTTTAATAAAGACAGAAGCTATTGATTTCCTCTTTTTAATTTTGTTCTTTGATTAACAGACATCACAGCAGCTGGATATTAGGATTTTTTTTGACTGCAACTTTAAGAGCTGCCGCTGCTGAACTTGACGCAGATCTGACACTGCTTTAAATGTGACTCATAAATAATAAATACTTACATGCACAGTTTTAAGGCAGCTTTAAACGCCTTTTTTGTAACTTCATGACTTAACTGACGACATAACTACAGCATTGCTCGTAGTTTCATTTGGGTTTGAATATGATACAAAAGACAGCACCACACAGACGGTTTTCTCTCAGCTTTCCAGCCAACTCACGAGAGTCAAGACATCCTGTGACTCCAAGCGTGCGTTGTTATTATTATTAGGCGCCCGGCCCTCCGTTTGGTCTGTCGATATCGACCCAGACGGCCGTCATTCTGTATGGAGTCTAAATTAAATAAACATTTAATCGTTTAATAAAGACAGAAGCTATTGATTTCCTCTTTTTAATTTTGTTCTTTGATTAACAGACATCACAGCAGCTGGATATTAGGATTTTTTTTGACTGCAACTTTAAGAGCTGCCGCTGCTGAACTTGACGCAGATCTGACACTGCTTTAAATGTGACTCATAAATAATAAATACTTACATGCACAGTTTTAAGGCAGCTTTAAACGCCTTTTTTGTAACTTCATGACTTAACTGACGACATAACTACAGCATTGCTCGTAGTTTCATTTGGGTTTGAATATGATACAAAAGACAGCACCACACAGACGGTTTTCTCTCAGCTTTCCAGCCAACTCACGAGAGTCAAGACGTCCTGTGACTCCAAGCGTGCGTTGTTATTATTATTAGGCGCCCGGCCCTCCGTTTGGTCTGTCGATATGGACCCAGACGGCCGTCATTCTGTATGGAGGGATGTCCGGTAGCACGCCTGATCTTTTTTGTTTGGGTGTGGGTGGACGGAGCGCTGGAACACGGGTGGAGTTTCTCAGAAAATGCTGATTGAAGACCAGCTGTTTTCCCTGTCCACGTTGTACAAAGCGCGCAGCGGCGGCTCGATCTGATCTGAGATCTGTGTGCGCTCTGAGCCGAGTGCTCATGGGGATTCCCGGTGCTGTGTGAACAGAGCGCCAGCTCCAGCCGCTGGGAGGATCGGGTTCCTCTTTGGCAGCCCGTGTGAGGAGCTCTGCTCAAAGACAGATGTGTTTATGTGAAAACATGGTGACAAGGATTATCTCTGTCTGTCTTTCACAGTCCGCTCCTCTAAATCAGCGCTATCTCCTTTCACCTACGATAGCGCTGTAAAGAGAGCTGGCAGCCACACGGGCCTGTGTGTGGTCCAGATGAGTGCACTGGCATCGCTCTGCACAGGTTCTGTCCTGAGAAGAACTTAACCTCCACCTCACCCTGAGCCTCTGTTCACCGCTTGGGCTTTTCCAGATAGTAATTTGACCAGTGCCTATTCATTTACTCCTGTAAAGATACCGACACATACACTAACAGTCAGAGGTTTGGAAACATCTACTCATTATGTATTATTTTCAACATCTTGGAGTAATAATAGAGTTTTCAACCAACTTTGTGAGGTACATCTTGGGATGCTTTTTAAACACTATTGAGAGACTATTGGACAATTATTGACCGATTTTCCTTTTCTGTCCAGTTTCTACCCAGTTTCCAACTGTTTTTAAAATAAAATACAATACAATAATAAAAATATATATAAATACTCAGTTTTATGAGAAAAAAATTTACATTTGGGGGGAGGGCTTTTTAAACGCTATTGATGTTCACATGTATGTTCACACTTTTAGTAACTGCTCGTACTTTTCTATCCAGTTTCCAACTTCAATAAATAAATAAATGTATGAATATTTAGTTCTTTTTTACACATTTACTATTTAACACACTATTAATGAAAGGTTCATATTTTGGTTTTGGGAGTCCCCAATAACAGGTTGACAATGCATGCAAGGTCAAAAACACTTTCATTGTCTTATAATATGCATATATTTTTACCTTACTCAATGAATCCCAAACTATTCATTTTTCCAAACTCCTCCTTTGCGTGAAGCTAATCTGCGGTGATTGGTCTCATTTTCATTGCATCATGCCTGTAATGCCTGATAAAGCAGTGTTTGTGAGCGCAGTGCTGCTTTGTGTACAGTTACCGGGGAAACCGCTATTTTTACTGCTCCAAAAGCCGCACCTAGTGGCAAAGAATGAATTTGCATTTTACTCTGAATCATTGAAACGAGTCGTTTTTACGGGCAATATGCTAATGTTTCATGTTGACGTCAACATGAAACGGCTTGGGATTCGTTTTAAAAACGAGTCGTTTCAATGATTCAGAGTCGACTCTTTCTTTAAGAGACAATAACTTTATACACGGTGCACTTTCAGATTTAAAACTTGGCAGGATGTTTTCATTCACTTAGAGCTGTGTTACACACTGCATTAAAGGTAATTTTCAAAAATCCATAATAGGGGCACTTTAAGATAATGAGAAATATAAATTTAGTCAAGTTTGTCTAAACTTTTGAATGTATGGTGAACAAAGAAGCACAGAACATAAACAGCTCCTCCATCTTCAAAGGAATGTATATGAAAGCTGTAAAAAGAGAGCAAAACAGCACATTTGTAGCCGTGCCTTTACTCTGTAATCACTGCACATCATGGCATATGTTTTTCCACAGCTGACTCTCCCGAATGTTCACACACCTAGCTGACAGATACGTGTTTTCAGCAGGTCGTGCTGTAGTGTATATTTGCACTCATAGGTACTCTGCTGAGACACATGCTGTTATATTAGCTTGAGGACTATTAATGCTGTTTACAAAGCATTGTTTACAATGTTATACTTAGAGTTAGGTGTTTTTCAGTAGTTTCCAAAAATAAAACAAAAAAGTGTTTAGTTGAAATTGAAACAAGGGATGCACAATATAACTACTACCATATTTGCAGATTTTGAGAAGCTAATTGTGCATGCTCATTTCCACTATTTTTACATTTAGATTGAAACAGATTGATTTTTGATTTAAGTTTGTGCTTTATTTTTTTAATTTCAGATCATTTTAATATCAAACATTATAGTTATTGGTTATAACATGAAAGTAATTATGTCAAACTTTGAGAAGAAACTGCAGGAGGTAAGTGAATTGAGGTTAAGAAATGTTAACAATGAAGGATGTTAAGAAATGCCAATAATTACTTAAATCACAAAAACATAAAATTGAAAAAATTAAATTAAATTAAAAAAAACAATATAAAACACTCACTAAAAAAATATTATTTACCTGACTGCTGGTTAATGTTGTTCTCAGTGGTATTTCAAGTTAATATATTTTAGGTCAAAAAGGTTGGACTGACAAAAATGTGTGTCATAAATAAAAGCCCTGGTGTGCTGTGTTTGTTTGTGGGCAGGTTATGCTGTAACATAGTCAGTTCTGTCATCATTCAGGTCTGAAATCCGTTTAAGTAATGGCTGCATTTGTGTGGAAATGGAGCATTAGAGCTCTTTCTCGCACAGACTTGAAATGTGACTCAGAATAGAGCAGATGATCTCATCCATTCAGTCAGTCCCTGGAGTGCATCTTCCTTTGCACTGTTTCTTCAGCTCATGACTCTTTATTACTTCACACTTCTGTCTGAAACTTTTGCAAGAGCATATACTTTCCTTACTACCTGCATAATAATAATGGGTGTATGTCTGTGACTGTGTCTGGATCTGTGTGTGCTCACATGCCTGTCTATGTACATGCTTGTGTTCACGTGTGTGTGTGTGTGTGTGTGTGTGTGTGTGTGTGAGAGATGAGCAGTGACGTGTTGGTTCATTGTTCTTCATGGAGATCTGACATGCTCGCTTATATAATGACAGCCACATGTGGAAGTGCTTCTATGGGTGTTTGTTGATATTTGGATCCATGTTTGAAGCCGAGGAGGTCAAGGACCCGCTGGGGGTCGTGGTCATGACTGATATGCATGCTAGCTCACAATTCAGTTTGAAAAATTAAAATATTTTGTATATTACTTGCATTCTGCAGTAACACTTTATCTATAAGGTTCCGTTTGGTAACATTGGTTACTTACATTAGTTGAAAAATACTTTAAGTAACAATGTTTCCCCTAGGTTTACGGCTTTGGGGGGTGGACTTCTTTTTAATGGTTAAATTACATTTTATTAATCAAAAAGCAAGAACAAGGTATATACCTGTTCTATATGAAAGGTAACTTTAAATGACGTCTGTTGTGATCTGGCGCTATTGAGAAAATATAATTAAATAAAATTAACTTGACCTTCAAGGGGGGCTGGGGGTGGGCCGCCCCCCTAATATAATGGCAGGGGAAACACTGAGTAATCTTAGTTAATGTTAATTTCAACATTTACTAATACATTATTAAAATCAAAAGTTGTATCTCTTA